GGTGGCCGCGTGAACAAAAATAGATGAGAATTCGTAGTGTACAAGTTTTCGGCTAAGGTTGCAAGTGGGGCAGAAATTGTCACGCGGTTTGAGCGTTTGTGACGCGTGATTTGATGACTGACCTCTACAGAGATTGATTAAGCGCCAGTAATCTCTCCAACACTCTGTTCCCAGAGGTTGATCAAATATTGGTAAGATCAGTTCGTGCCATTTAGTGGTACGCACGGATGTTTCTTTTCGTTTCACTAACTTGTTTTAGGGATTGGCAAAAGGACTTGTCAGCCCACTTGTTATATGATTGGAAGGTTAGAATATGGTGTTAGTTAGAGGATTAGATACAAGATTGCACTTTCTGCTTGTACTTTCTATTGCTTCAGTTTCGAAATATCCAGGAAACGTAACACGGTACAGAATTCTTTCACTTGAAAACTAACTCCTAGTCTCCCATCTTCAGATATTACATGCTCGCCACATGAATTCTATTGCAGTTGTAATGTTTTATAGTGCCCTCTCAAGTCGTCGAATCCGCAACCTATGTCAATCACATAAGCTGGTATGATGGAGCACGCGAAGGAAGTATCCAATCGATTGGTTTCCCGAGTGTCTATCCGAGGAACGTTCGACAGCTTTTCACTTTCCTGGCACCAACAGATAGTGAAATACAAATAAATATAGCAAAATTCAAGTTGGACTCACGACAAGGATCAAGGTAAGTCAGGAAATTTTCCGAATATAACGCTTCATTGAAATGCTTTTTCGATAAGATAACTAAAAAAGTAATGTTTCCTACATACAGCTGATCTGAGACATTCAACAAAATTAAAATTTTTACATGATCGGTGTTCATCAAACACAGAAACCTGTTGCCTCCACTGAGCTTTGGCATTAAGCTGTTGTGCACCAGTGCGCCTTTATTCCGCGTTTGCTTCGAGACCAATAAGGTCCTTAAAAACGCCCATTCGGGCAGTGTCACCTATCTGTTTCTTCCGGAAATTTGGAGGCGCCTACTGTTCAATGAGCCGCAACATAGAGCCAAATACATACGGCTAAACCTTTTAGTAAGCTTATGAGTGGTATGTTTCGCCGCAAAACTATCGCACATTCTTTGGGAAGTCTGGATTTGTGGAACTGAGTACTTTTTTACTTCCTCAACAGTTATTACTGACCATCACTGCTAAAAATCTATGAAATGTTTGACCTTGATTACTTTTCCACGGGAAAGATTTAAAAATCTGGTTTTACATCCTGTAAAAGCTTACTCTGTGCAGAAAGCCGAAAGCAGTTTGATACTTATCCCAGAAATCTATGGTCTAGCTATTCAAGTCTTTGAATTTGACAACTCTTGTTCACACAGAAATTTTGGTTACACGTTCTAGTATCGAATTCTCGGATTTTTTTTATAAAACGAAACTGGTAGTTGTGAAGAAGTTTTGAGGTAGATGGATAAGCAATGGAATCTGCTATTTTATTTGTAACGATGGTGGTTTTTAATCCCATATCTTGTTCGTTTGTAATGAGCCGAAACTAATCGTATCTTAAGTAAGCAGTTCTGGTACTACTATTGTTATCACTGTTTCTTTCGGCTCGAAGCTGAAAGGCAGCACTGCCGGATCAAGCATTCATGGGTATTTAAAACTTGCATCTGTAGAGCTACACAAGCCCGATTTATGGTTACCCTTTTTGTAAAAGAAAAGCAACTAGGTGTGGCATCCATCCGCAGGTTGGACTTGGAACAAAAACTCATTCTGGTTCCAGAAAAAAATACGGATAGGTATCTGGGACCACCTCCAAGTAAGCGATGGAAATGGGAGACAGGTAGTTCACATACACTTATAAAGAACGACACTTTGCATGACAGATTATTGTCAGAAATAACTGTCAAACCACATGGCCCCGTAGTGGTCGTTTCCCCGTGATCTGTATTTATGTCGAAATTGTTGGTGTCTGAGTAAGCTGGAAAAATCTTGTGGTTCTCCTGATAAGGATTCAACGTTTCCGATTGAACTCTTTGTTCTTGTTTATAGGGATGCATTAATTCCGTCTGCAGTGAAAATAATTTTATCGCGCACTTGTAAAGCACCGAGGCGGTCTGTGATCTGAAACAAAACCAACACTTTTTCAAATATTTTGATATAAAATCTTTAGACTTGACGTTTGGCAAGGCTCTACTTTTGTGACAAGGATTTCGTCAGGTCAGGTTAAAAGGTTGCCAACTTGACTGATCTCGGGACAGACGAGGAAATAATCCGTGAGGGTTCTTACTGCCGACCAACATAATCACCGCTAGGTTTGAGTGTCTAATTACTGTTACTTAGTGTAGACGACTGATAGAAAAATTATCGCTATTTCAAATCAAATCTAAGGTCTTGATTTCCCGGTTCACGGCGCTCTAATTGGATGTTCCATTTGAAATTTGGTGACAAATTTTGATTATCTGTGCGGATGCTAGCACAGCTAGGGTATGCGTAAGGGAAACAAGACGGATTTCAATCGGCCTCGGTCTTGCAAATTACACTCAGACAACTCACTGTGGCGCACTTCACTGCATGACAACGCAAATGTCCAAATCATCGCCAGTTATTGTCTGTTTATTCTATTCACGCCGGGATGCTTTGCGACTTACATCGCTTCGAACACCAGTCACTGCATTAAAATCCTCGTCCTCGCATCAAAACTTACATGATTCTCAAATCTGCTTCGTGCCTACTGTTCGACGCGTAAACTGTCACCTTCCACCGTCCATATGTTATTCTTGGGGAAATTTGTATGCCTGGCCTATGCCCACCAGTTAGTATAAGCAGTTACATGACTTTCTGTTCTGTTTAAACCTTCGTGTAGCTTCTGAGTTTTATCATATGTAATTTTTACGCAGTCTGTAGCCGTTTGAGGCGGGGGCGATACTTAAATCGCACCAGTAATAAGTGTGTGGCGTTTCACTTCCGGAATATGCTAATCCATTATAGACCGTATTCTAAACATTAATGATTTGTCATGATCCACTTTTAGGTGGGTTAAAAATGCGATAGACAGGCAACTACTACCGGAAGGCATATATCCAGTGAACTAGCTCTATTTTGTTCAGCTTTTCCGCATCTTCGGTGTTGCGATATAGTTGCCTGATATGGGATTTGGTTTTCCACACTACGTCGCCTATCTTTTCAGTATATACCACATGAAAATATCCGTAATAAAATCAGTGTACATTAACAATGGGAAGTTTTGCGACGAAAAACCGCTTACCTTTACAAGGTGTCTTTTAACAATATTGTTCTTTTAAAAGCATTCATATTTTGCACAGGAATTTGGCGTCATGTGGATTACGTCACAGGTCGCTGGCCCACAAATTGTGGCGAGTGAAGCTTTAAATCTATGATCCCTCTGCCTTTCTGGTTTATTGATTGGTCTTGTTAACCACTCGCCGAAAATTTTCAGACCATTTCTTCACCGTGTAACCAGAACGGACTATTCCTTTCTCACGCTCAGTGATATCCAACGCAAACGACTAGGAATAATAACTACACGTTTTACGCCATTTGGACGTGTTGAAGAAGTATATTTTGGGTACGTTACTGAGCGTGTCGGCTTCCAGTGAATTACCGTGCTGGATATTTTACCGTTTGATCCAGGCGCTATTGTCAACTGACTTGTTTTAGAATATTATTCGAGGTATTTCCAATTAGTACTCCGTTGGGGTAATTGTCCTTTGCATATAGTGTAGAGACATGTTAGGAATATGTGAAGACCTCTTAAGCTTTTGTTCCAGTGATATGGAAAAGAACAGCAGCTGTGACCGATGCTTGGAGTCTCACAGTGACACTGTCCGTATAGCATGAACCAGATACGCGTTGGACAGAGGTTTACACTGGAGCAAGACGACTCAGGATCAAGAAAAGAAACGCCGAATTCCCCAGATTGAAATAATTGGCATAAACCATTTTTATCTCAAAGCTAACATCTGCGTTCTTTTACCAAGAAAAGTGAAATTATGTGCCAACAGAACTGAGCGAATGAATGACCTGAATCCCATCACAGGGTTAGATTTTGGCATTGTTCAGGCAGCGCAGTTTATATGTTTGGATATCGGTGGTATCGGTTTGTCCGATTTTCCAACTTTGGTGGTTAGTAAAATCGTTCATCTATGTTAAATTTTGCTGTAGGTGTAAATGGTGATGTTTTACTTCATTCGGGATTGTACGGCAATTTCCCCTGCTCACTCTAAGATTTGGTTTCGTGAAATGATGTTCTGATGATGGCCAGCGATGATATAATGAGCAGTTCTGTTCTCAAAATACTAGGGGCTCATGCTAGGTCTCTTGAATATATTTCTGTGTCCCAAATGTATTCACCGCTGTTTCTTTGGAGGAGTATGGTTACCCAGAAACGGTGGTTGTCATTTTCAGGACACAGGAGAGACAGTGGCAGGGATTTTTGAATCTTTTGAGGGGAACTCGTGGAAGGATGAGCACCAAAACAAAAAGAAATTCATGGGCTGTTAGAAGTCATTTGGGTAAAAGATGCCTGTTTATGTTTAATTCTCTGTTCAACATTTTAAACCAGTGTAAATAATTAAACAGTTTTGGGTGGATTCTGGGTAGTAGTTTTATCCTTCAATTAAATTCGATTTATGCCGAAAAACTGAGTGGCACGGTGGAACTACTTCATCTTTATTAGGAATCATCATCAGCGCGCATTTGATGGATCTCCTGAAGATTAAACTTTGCAACCTGGTGCCAAGTAGTTGGAGAGTAAACACTTGAACATAATCTGCTGGTCTTCTGTGTGTGAACCTAGCACTTAGAGAGGTCATGGAGACACCTTATCCTTCGAACACTGATTTAGACAAATGGACCGAGGGAGATAAGTTGATCCTCCAGTGACCTATATTCTACTTACTATTTATGCGCACCTATGTTTTGGCTTTGCCATTAGACAGTTTGAGTGACCAGGACTAGTCAGATACGCTCACCACCGAAAAAATTCACTCTTCTGTCACTTACCAGCTGTGCAACGCATCCCGGTGATAAGCTGGATATATATATCGGTGCGGTCAGCTCGTCCAATCGGTGGCGTTCACTCTGTGGAACAAACTTACCTGTCAATCTGAGGACTATGAATATGCGTGTGCCTGTTCTAACAATTCAGTTCAAGTCAGATAACCAGACGACGGCGATGGAAAATGGGTTTTATTTGAACTATCGCATTGTTTCAAGCCACGACGCGTCCAGTGAAAGTTCCAGTAAATATGAACCGTTATCTGATGAATGGAAACAGAAGGAATACACACTACCAGCTGAGAAGGAAGCAAACCAAAGTTTGAGTGAGTTTTGAACGTTTAGTCAACCATTTTTCTTACTTCATTACCAATTCTAGGTGTGAGAAACGAGACATGCTGTACGCTCTGAATGGAATCCTACTTGTACTGCGAGCGTTTACATGCAGACAATATGGAGATAATTTAATACGTTGGAGAGGCAACTCATCTTAAGTTAAATTCGATCAGCTTCAACTGCTACGTGTGAACATACCACCAATGGATGAGGTGCCCGGGATTTGGAAGAAACAATGATTTCGCGTGATTATATGCACTAATTATGTCAAATAGTGATCACTGTTTCTCTGACCAGCCTCGTCAATAGATTGTATGGACGCTGAATAAACGTAAATGTCCCCACGAACTGGTTTTGGCGCTATTTCGAAAGATTAGACACCGACATAAGCTGCAGTATATCTCTCACCATCTCGAAACTTATGCGAAACTTATCTAGTAACGTAACCCGTTCATTCAAATCCGCCTTGAGATCAGCCGTGTATCCTTTTTGTGGACTATGTCAGTTGTCGAATAAATTTATATCTCTGTCTATCAACAAACATCATTTCTGAACTGGCAGACTATGTTGGGAATCATATGCAAACGACAGATGCGTAACTGCTGAATTGTGTGGTGAAATACGGGGAATGGAACGCAATATAAAGCGTCTGAGCTAAGTAAGGTATAACACGCAATCCAGATGATACTCATTTCTATGCGAGACCAGCCTTTGGTGAAACAACCTAGTTTGCTTCAAAGATATGCATGCTTGTCACGCTGCTCTCTGAGCACAGAGGAATTCCGTATGCTTGCGAGACATACGGATATGCAGCGGAAAAAAACCAATACACATGGTCTATTTGATACCGCATCTCCTGTTAGTATTAAGGTAACTTCAGAATGTTTTTCCCGCCCAGTGGATTTTGAAAAGCTCTAATTAGTTTCCGAAAATTTGGCAAGAACTCAGTAGATATTCCAAAATCATTGTTCAGGAGTTGAGGTTTTAAAACCCACTGGTGCCATGCTTATGCAGCTGGTGAAACAGAACATAAGACACATTCAAAGTGGACGAATACACTTCGGACGAATGCAGTTTGCTAATCATCATTCTGTGCACGACTGCTTTCAGAGAGGTTTATCCATCATTGGGTGTTGGTAGCTTGCCTACTGTGGGCCGTTTTTCAAGAAAAACTAAAAAAAGACCAGCACTGATGATTTTGCCCAGTTTGAATCATTTGTCTTGTCGTCTGCTACCGCCCAAACAAGGACACAACAATGGAGATACTGCTCCCCTCTACCTGGCATTCTTGGTAGGCAGAAACGAAGTTATCTGGTCTCATCAACTAGCAGCGACAGGGGTATAGTGAATGGTAGCCTGAGTAGTATAATCCGCCGTTTTGACTCGTGCGTGCGAATTGAACCCGCATACATGGGGATTTCCTACCCACCAAGTGTGGGAATACAATTAAAGAGCTTCGGAGTCTGTGGGTAAATGTACTGTAGTGCATAATTAAGGCAGTCGTTTGACTTACTTAAAAGTGCTGTAGGTTGGGTTGTATTGTATCAAAAAGAACTGGTTGCAAATTGGTTGGCGACTCTATGCAGGGTCTCTATTCGGAGTGTTATTGTGCAATCAGGGGCCGAAAATACTTTACTTGTCTGTGCGGCCATGCCTAACAGCATTCGGGAACACGTTCTGCATCCACAAACAACTTAAAGATAATAGATCTGGCTTGCGTGGTCGTCAGCTTGTAATAGATTCTCCACCTCCACACCTCAGTTCTTTGGAATTTTACAGATATCCCTAATTTTTTAAACCCGAAGGATGTAGGATTTCACGCTGTGTAGCGTTTAAAAAGACTTTCTTCCAACCCGGTTTTTATTACCAGAGAGAAGTCTCTTGCTGGAATAGCGAACTATAATATTGTGTTCCACGCAAAATGGACTAAGATAAACGGGGACACGATGTACTGGAAGGATGCAGAATATTACACCTCGCACTGCGCTATCAAAGTGGTTATGAATGCCAGCGTGATTGATTCAACCAACCAGTTGTTGATAAGCCCCCATACAGTCGTGTAGAATGTAACACATGCTAAGAAACGCAAGGCTAGTTTCACAACTATCCTTAACTTCTGCTGTGACTTCCCCGCATTTGCAACCTAGGTAGCGTCAAACTGTCTTTCGAAAACGGCACTATTCTGCCAAGGTACGGATAAATAAGTTTATCAGGTCTCAGGTAGCTCATAAAGAGAAAAGATTGCCAGACGCAGTGGCAGAATTTTACGACCTTAGACAATAATGAAGTTTTGATATCACGATTCGGAAGGTCTGTAACAACTGTAGTTTTGTACAAGCCCATTCACTGAAGCTCTCAAGAGGTTATTCATTAATAGTGGGAATTTGTCCCATAACTGTTGGCTTTATGAGGTTGGACTTGGACAGAATAAGCATGTTTATTTGGCGAATTAATGATGGTCGATGAACTGATTTTGATGAATCTACCTGTCACAGAATCTATAACCGTTAGGATGACAGTTGTAGTAGACTTAGACAGATAGACAAATCCCCATAAATTTTGGTCCGCCAATTCTTAGTCGAGTTTTCTCACTAGGGACGAAAAGTGTATGTAACTATAATCAGGATTGTAAATCGTACACGATAACATTGTGACAAGACCAACCTACCGGATGACCCTCTCGAATAAACTCATTATTCGTGATGCAGGCAGATAATATGGATTGGTGGAATTCTCGCAGAAGAAATTACGTATATATACTTAATTTGAAGCGATTCGTCTCTGGATGTTGGACGTTGCTGCAACACTTAGAAGTGGAAGAAGTGACAGCCATGCGCAAAGACACATTCACACACTTAAGAAGAGACGATACGCACGTGGCCATCATACTTTCACCTGAAATCGGCCTGAAGCCTTTTTTGAGAGGAGGACAGTCCGCGTGTGTAAAGTCCAGAAGCATGGAAAACATTCATGAGTGAGCAAATGTGTAAATACGAAACTCAGCGACAATCTGACCAGCATCATTTGCTGAAGAGCGATAAACGTAACTGATTTTGAAAAAAGTGGGTAAATTTGTGTATATCAGTACGATGGATGGACCAAAACACTTGGCGTTAGTGCTCGGAAATTGACGTCCGTGATTGGCGGAGAGCTTGGGCGGATCTAAACAGGAGAACAAGAACAAGCGGCTTGTGTGAGTAGCTTGGAGTTGACATTGGATGACACCAAACCATTCTTAGTTAAATAACCAAATTGTAAAAGAAGGAAATTCAAGAGACGAGGCTGACCGGTAGTTGGTCCAAATGAGTAATGAATCGAGCTTTGTTCATCTGCTGCAGTAGAAGTGGAGAACAATTCATGAAAGGTGCACTGAACCGCAGAATTACCTTGACGCAGATATGAGCCAATACGCTACGGTTAATACGGAATTATGTCAACCGAGACATTCATGACGAGCAAGATACTTCACTGTTATTCGTTAGCAGACGTACAAAATATTTTCAAAAACGGGAATACGTTTAACCGCAGTGTGTCCTGTTGATTATTCAGATGGACGTGCAGTGCTCTAATTTTGTAGATGCGGAGAAAGCGGGAATAAAGTGTGGAGTCAGTGCTCTGGTGTCAAGCAAGAGGCCAAGTTTTAAAGTCTTTAGGACTCCTTCACCTTCTTTAGTCACCAATTTACATCCGAGTCTGTTTAATCTGCATGCATACATGTATATATAATTGATAATCGTGCCGATTACAAAATGCGTGTCTATTTTTTGTCTTATATTCGGCTAATTCGTGAGAATTCATAAAAGATTAACCACACAAGGGATAAACCGCGGAAATTCGATGCAAAGTGGGGAATTTCCTTGCTCATGGAAATATTTCTCTTTAAAGATAGAAACGTTGTAATGGTGGTCTACAAATAACAATGCTTTCGGGAAGGGGAAGAGAGATGTTTTAAATGGAAGTTATGAAGAGAGGCTCAAACGTAATCGGACAGTCATCAGAGTCAAAACAACCCACTGATTGGGGAGATTTTGGATTTTACATGCAGATGTGTTTACTTCGAATACCATTTTTCGTTGGATGCCATGTGAAACGTACACGCTTGAAAAGGAAACGGATGTAGGCTGCCCCTTTTAGAGTTAGTCATCAGTAAGGCGCCGCTGCCTTGGATTTTGGATGCAAGACGATATAGGGATCGTCTCCAGAATTGAGCGTGTAATTTCAGATAGATTGGGACAGTAGCTTACCGCGGAGGACAGTGCGCGATTATGTTAGGAACTATGGTTTACGAACAAAAATATGGCATTCCTTATCCATGTGAATACATTAAATTCCAGTGGAAATAGCAAAGAAAGCTGCTTTTACTATTTAGTTTTTAATTGCGAGGTCCCAATATGACCAGGTGAAGAAGGAAATCTGGTAAGCCACTGTCGGCTACCAATCATGATTTCCAAAGTATCAAGGTTATATAAATGTTCAAAAACCTGGAGGTTTTGGGCCAAATCAGTCCCGGATAGCGTCGAAAAAGATGAGCAACATTTGGTTTATAATACGGAAGTTTCAGTCACAACACAGCGCGAAAATTCTTGGATTTAGATTATAACATTTGTTCGGCTCTACTGCGTCTTGGCTTCCGAATTGCTTTGTGAGGGTTGCGTTGCCTTGTGGGGCGACCAGTGGAAATCACATCACATGACATCACAGTAGATGAAATGGACATTTTGAACTTCGGTGCTTATGTTAACTTGTAGAGACCCGAACTGTGGTTATTAAGAAAAATGATATGTTCACCGTTAGGATTATTGTATCAGGGAACTGGAGTGTGAAGGCTGAAACTAACCTATCTTCATGCTCTGAATCCCAAAAAATGGATTACTTAGATTACCAATATATTTTGTCATTCAACGGAGAATACTGAGAGGAACATGTAAATTACAAGACAACTTTTTTCGAAAGCAATACATTTACCATGGCATAACAGAACGCCGGACCGTCAGAATTCTTGAATATTTTCATCACTGTCAAGTGAACAACTACAAGGGTCAAACACACGGAACAAATTCTGAACTACCCCTGTCAGTCAATCTGCCACAGGAAAAGTTTTACCCGGGAATGTTTCAAACAGATTGGAACGCATATTAACATCAGGAAATTCACACATAAAAGAGAAGAACATTTGTATATAGTCCCTCGAAGCGTTAGTTTTCCTTTCGAAAGTGTAATCCGACCAAGTGAAAAAGCGTGAAAAAATGAATTGAAGATATCATGGAGGTGACGGGAAAATATTAAGGAGCACGACATAAAAATAGAGTACAAACCGACAAACACTCCGGAAAGCACCGTAGAGACAAAAGTGAAACTGGAAACACCAAGTAAGAAAGACAGCATATATGAAGTTCAAAGGGAAAACTGATAAACACTACGCTTAATGAACAGGGATGAAGCCACCCACCAGATTGCACAACCCCGCCAGTTGTCACCCAAAACATCCTCATTGATCTACGCTCAGGGGAATCAGTAAGGATGTGATTTCAACTGGGATGGCTTAGGCAAGAAGGAATAACGAGCGCGGTTTGAAGGAAGTGTAATATTTATCTCAGAAACCCATAAGGAGACACAACAAAATCAACCCAGTTTATAAACCTCTCAGATACGAAAAACTCTGGAGCACTCAAAAAGACGGGAGAAATCAAGAGATTGCCTAAAGAACACAAGGCGCTGGATACAAGCAAGACCTGCCGGTAAGTTACAGGACCCAACGGAATAACAGACAGAGACTGCATCGGGGAAATCATATTTGATGAACCGATCAGGAGCCATTGCGCAGCAGAAGTAGCAGACGGACCTGCCATATCAAGGAAAGGAAACTGCTGAATACAAAAATTGCCTGGTCAACCTGTCAGATAACAGAAAGACTGACTGGAATGCATAAAACAGCAAAGAAAAAACAGATCGATCGGAATAAGTGGGTGGAACTTATAAAAGGTAGGTGCTCAGAGGAACAACCGTATGCGAGAGAAGTAGAGCAAAATGTAATCCAAACCTTGAAGTGAACACTCAAATTAAGTAACCGCCAATCTCTAAATAATTAATCACGTTGTAGTTATTGACTACTAATACTCTGGAATCTATAAAAACGGGAGAAGAAATGGAGGGGTTTTTTGCCAAATTACACATGCATGCCAGACCCGAATAGCTAAGTGGCACCCTGTGGACAGATCAAATGCTACCTGATCATCAACCAAGAATGGTCCATGTAAGGCAATAAATTGTTTGTACTGATGTTCTATTATATTGATTTTCAGGGTTTTGACTTATCGAACAAGCTTGCTAGCTTATGAGCAGTTCACTGCTTGTGGCGTTTGCTTAGATCCATTTGTATAAAAAGGTGGTAGCTTGTTTGTTCTGCATTTTGTTTTGCATAGGTGCCACGAAAATGTTGACATCTAGTTATTACTTATTGGTCATCTACTTTTTTGTACTGTGTTGATAAATATATCTGCCGTGGACTGTTTGACGTGCTACTAAGACGGCGTCATTGGTAGTGACAAACATGTGCAACAAATTACTGCTTAAGTGACAGTATTATATGTGATCATACCTCTTTCAGACAACTGCACTGTCGTCATCAATAGCAAAGGAATGGAGAAGAAAGGCACAATAATTATTCCGCGCCAACTTGGAAACGCCAACACTGCAAAATCATCGGCATCGTCAATCGGAGACGAAGAAATTTGCCACTGGATTTTCTTGGGCAGAAGAAATCAGCGCATCCGAATTAACTTACGTCCTTGGTCTAGGGATTCCATGAACCCAGAAATAATGGAGGACGGCGTTGCACACAAACGTACGGCAGATCGACCATATTTTCGGTATAGCCAGACAAAATCAGAAAAAAACAAAAAACTACCGCACAAAAGTCCAACGATTCGAACAATCGGGTGAGAAAGGGTTCTACTAATGTTTAGGTTCTTTTTGGGTTTTTCAGCAAAGTATACAAATAATTAGTCATTGGTTTGCTCACCAAGCAAACTTTTCATCATCAATGCGTTATTGGGGAGCGTAGTGGTGCGTAGCGATGGGTTGATGGTTGCGCCAACCGCCAACAACCACCAGACACTGCTTCACTGCAAATCAACACAAATGATAACCTCAGTCACAAAACGAAAAGTTCAAGTAAATGGAATGGGCATATTTTTGATAAATTCTGAAAATAGCGTTATTCTTTTCCTCCGAGATCACACCCAAAGCGTAAACAAATGTACAAACAAACGACTAGCCAGGTCTATCAAAATTATTAACTGAACGCAGATAAAATTCGTGATGGTGAGTCGGAAGATATCCTTAGGCTCTTTTCGGTAGTTTGGGTAGTTGCCCATTAACTTTAGTCCATAAATAAAATTGCATCTAAAAATGGATGTGTTGGTGTAAGCCAAACTTTAGAAATCCGCTTGCCAATCCAAAAAGTTAAGCACAAATTTCAAATTTATAGTAAAGTAGTTTAGAGCAAGTGAGATCACTTCAATATACCACTGATTTAAAAACGGTTTATATTAGAGAACAAAATCAATTTTGCAATCACTTAAACTTTGTTTCATCTTGTAGGTAGCTTAGTTATCTTACACGTCGTCGCGAGCGTTTGAAACCTTGTTGTAGTTTCAATTTCCTGACAGGCCAATAAAAATTGAGTGTTTATTAGTTACCATTTATCAAGAATTAGAGTTGATTGCACCACACTTTGCCTGCCAAAGTTGTCTACAGCGAAAGGCGATATATTTCCCGTTCGCTAGGAATTTATCAGAGACTCACACACTTTCCGTGACCAGAATTACAAAGACAGAGCCTATCGTGATAACAGAATAACCACAATCTCCTGTTGTTTATGACAGCCAAATTATCGGAAATGGAATGGTACAACGGGTTGATTGGGAAAGAGCTGCTTGGAAGAAACGAACGCCCACTATCACGGATACACACAAGTCAGACTTAGTTTTGGTCGCGAAAACCCGTTGTAGATTGCGTGACGTTGTGCACCACGTATAGGTGCAATTTCACTCTCCAGTCACGTTATCATGTTAAGGGTGTGTACTACTTTTCACAGTATAATGTTCTCGCTGTTTGAGAGGAGGGCTCTACTATCAGTGTGATAGATTTTATTCAAAATTTTGGATAGTGACGTTCAGGAAGCCATTCGTCGTAATGGTAAATGATGAAAATATGTGTCCAAAAAGATGCATTCTAATCGTGGGACTGATTTGAATTCAAACTGACAGCTGAAGCTACGAAAAAACTATGAAATGTCGAAAAGATTCAGTTTATGCCACCAGGTGCGCACAGCAACACTGACGATAATTCGAGGCATCCAAAATCTTTTAATTTTATCACAACACTAGGGCAATAATGTCCAAGGCATTTCTTACTAAAAACTTCGTTTGCTGCCCAGGCTTTCAGGATAGGAACTGACTAGCTTACGGATGTTTATCCAAAGGTAATCTTTCAAGCCACTACTGATTATGCATCAAGATAGTCAGCAATGAATTGCATGGCCAAAACGGAGTAGTTGTTAAATGGAGATGGTTGACTATGACAGTTACTCTTCTATTTTCAGGGAGACGATTTCATCGATTTCCTGTCAGTAAAATGTTCTGTCACGTAATGTGAGTTCGGGAAATGGTAGAAATTCATGCTTCTCAGGGTATATCCAAGCAACCTCATCGCGGAAAATGGTTCAGTCTTACAGTCAACAGAAACTAAAAGTTACTTTCTACTCTTAAAACGTGGCGATAAATTATGTGTATATACGTTGTTTCAGCGTCCGTCTTAGCCACCTAGTCTTTTTGGCAATTTTAATGATAAAATCTAATGCAAAGTGAAGTCACTGAGGAGTCGTTTGTTCGTTTGAATGTGAAACAAGTGAACGAGACCAACCACTTTAATAATTTTCAGCGATTTTCGTCGTGCCAATTTTGAAACCGGTTAAGGAAAAGGAATTCCGTGGTTAAACCGCGGCGTTAAGTTTTAAACACAGTCACAGAAGGACAGCATTGTGGTATATATTTGATAAACAATTATGTCAAACCTCTAAACTTTTTTCGTTGCGGAACAAGTAGTTCATGCGTACTTAACATTAATACTTGGCACTAATGGCGTTTTTGTTCTATTTTGCACACTGCTAAATAGAACCACACTACATCATACCAAAGACTTACAGCTGCAAGTTGCGCACTAATTTGTTATTGAGCTTCCAAAGATAGCTAATCAGGGTGATCAGCAATCCAGACAAATCCAGAGACGTGGCGAATGAGCACATTACACAAATTCATTGTCTGAACAATACGCTTAGCTAACTAGGGAGTCCTGACTGCACATATTCTAGCAGGCCGGATTACAGGAACTAACACTAACGCAGTCCAGAAATGTCTATTCAAACCTATCGGGACGAAGGCAACTAACGAAAACGCTTCAAATGCACCCTTCTAGTGCGTCACTTGTTGATGTAAAAGTAGAAAAAGATATGTATGGTTAGATGCGTTTAGAGGGGGAACGTAAACAGGTCGAGATTTCACGGGTTCAACTAGATTACCCTACGGACAAACTAAGTTATGGAAGCAGAATAACTCGTGAGCAAGTATGATTCCAAAGTCATATGCGGAGGCATGAACCATATAATCGAATTTTGATCTTCCATGCAAAAGTTAGCAACCTTTCAGTCTTTTGGTCCCTATCGATGGAAAGAGGATTGTTTTCCATGTCGGAGGAATCAATTGTAGTTGAAACAACCTGCAACGCGGGGCATATGGAGAAGCAGATGTTAGCATTTAACTGCTTATCTTCCGAATGGATCCTGAAAGTTGGTTCGGAAATGAAACTTTCGCGCAGGTTAGCGGCTATTTGTGTTATACCAACGCACTCCTGTAACTCATGGGGAACTAAATCTGCAATATGACTGCCTATAAATGGGGCGTTTATACAGACGTCTTTTTGTTAGCCACACGGTTCTTAGTGTGAAGTGTATATTTCAGCGTTTCGAAAAGCATAAGGCTTGTAAATCCTTGGTTTCATGAGTAAAAGTATAACATACCTCTACTATTCTGTCGTCAGCACCCGATTACACTTCATCTTTTTGTAGCAGCAAGTTCTCTCAAGGTTGAAATACTGACCAAAGTAACTGGGAGTTATCTAGATTTACGTTATTTGAATGTTAAAGTCGAAACCCCACTGTCTAGGGATTCTCAGTCCAGGGATTTGTTAAGCCAGAATATTAGGGCACAGGTCCTAGAGAGAGCAGCACTCAAAACACTGTGGCTTCTGAAGCAAGCAGAAAGCATTGTTTAGCAGTAGTTGCACTATACCTCAACTACATGGCTTCTTAAAATTTCATGGGTTTGGCCTAGACTTTGGGTTTATTCCTGCCGATTCCTGCGCAATCCTCCCATGTACACCTCGGCCAAGTAGATTATTAGCCTGATGGGACCGACGAGAATTGCAAACACAGTCAGAGATAAGCCTCAGTCGGTCCATAGGGATGATAATTAGCAAGTAACTCAAAATGCAACAGTCAACTCACCTTGATGGAAAAAGTAGACACTGACATTTGGTCAAATATACATATCCAGGTTCATTTCTCGTTTGAGACATTCTTCAGCTGAATTTGTTGTACATAGGTCACTTTGTGCTTTTGTGTTTACTACATGGAAATATCTCCGTATATTTTTAAGGACACATACTACTCGTAAATTTTCCGAAGTTTCTTCGAAATGGACAATGCTTGGGGCTTAAGTAAAATTGCCGCGGGTCAGGCGCTTCCGGTCGAACCGTTTAGTCTCCAACTACCAGCGTGAAGCCCGGTGGTTAGAATCGTTCCGCTCATCCGTCAGATATTCAATGACGATGATCTGGATAATGATGAAACAGTTGCACAATGCTTTTCTGATTTTCAGCACAGACTGGCTTCACACACAGGACTAGCTCACTGTTGAAACTCTTAAAGATTCTTTTACTAACATATGATCATGTTTATTTTGAGAGTTCACAACATTTCAAGCAGTAATATTTGCCCAAACTTCTACGATCCGTACATTTCCGATATTCCTGCTAATATTTCTGTTCAGAAGTAAGACCTGTGGGCAAACATATTGCTAAACCCAGTGGGACCTTCGCCCGGTTTTGAAGGGAATCATTAGAGAAGAGCTAGTAATGATCACAGTAATTTTTCATTGAGGACAAAGAGGATTATCTGCGACCGATTGGTCTTGGGCTAGGAGTTTTCTTATAGGGCCTGCAAGGACAGACCATATTTTGAGGCAACAGGTCTTATTTGCTGTCATCCTTTGGCCATTAGCTTTTCGACAATCATTTCTAAGTGCCCATACAATCTCCAATACCGCTTTTCCAAATAGGAGTATCTTTGGAAGACGGTTGCACTGTCGTATGTAAATGAGACTGAGCTACTTTGTCCTTCCTAAGAACCGGAATATTTCAGCTTGCTGGAGTAGAGCTGCAGGGAATTCGTGAAGCTCATAACTGTGCCAGTATATGGAACACTGAAACAATATATTTCCGAGAAGTGGAAACGGAGAAATATAAGAGGTCTGTTTGCAGAACTTGCTTCATGCGCAGTACGGAAAACGTGCTTTGAAACGTATGCTTTATTGCTGGAGCATTTTGTCACTACATTAGAACAGGGGCGATCAAAAGGTGAACATACATGTTTCAGCAAGTGAAGTGCTGAGCAATCAAATTTGTTCGCAGAAATCTTTGGGAGCTAAAAAGACTGCGGCCTTTAAAACGTGTGAACAAGCACGGTACGTGGACAAGTCACCGGGCATCTAGTTTCCCTGAAACAGTGGACCATCAGGTTTTATATACAGTCGTGTGTTTCAGAAGAGACAAGTTAAAAACTTCTTATGGTTTCGAGATGGTAACAGAAGACTATAGAGTAAATTGCGCCTTATTTTTCACTACAGGATGTATTAGTCTGAACATGTCTGTTAGCGTTGCAGTGGCCAAATTGCATCATACACAGTAGTTGACAAAAATTACCATTGGCTTGTCTATGGAGTAGTCCGACATATTTGTGTAAACATTAAAGACGCTTGTGTCCATTATTTGCCTAATCACCCAAGAATCGGTTCATGGTTCAGACGGAAATATGTGTTGCTAACTGTAAACTGAGAAAATTAATGGCTCAAGTCCACTTTTGTTTTGGTAACACTGCTGATTATCGCATTCAGAGATAAATAATGACATTACGAGCATAGTTGTTTGTAGTGGCACTTTCTAGACAGCTGCGACGGTCATGTATTTTTCCAACTGATCAAACCAACGTAGTCGCTAATTTTGTTTTGGTAACACTGCTGATTATCGCATTCAGAGATAAATAATGACATTACGAGCATAGTTGTTTGTAGTGGCACTTTCTAGACAGCTGCGACGGTCATGTATTTTTCCAACTGATCAAACCAACGTAAGTTAGTCGCTAAAAACACTTCTTATATATATATATATAATATAAATAATCGAAAGTTATGCTGTTTTAGCGTTTGGAATGGTATTCAGTACGCGTATCAATAATATCTCTATGGCTGGAGACAACATTTGCAGGCAAATTGCCAAGCCTGACGAACAGTTCATCAGCCAATTTATCCAAAACCAACTAACGCACCCGAGCTACCAATATTCTCATATATTGCCAAATCATTAGAAACTTCTCATTTTGTCTGCACACATCGAGGCCGCAGTTTGTTGTCTGATACGACTTTCTGTTTTGAAAAGTAAATACTGAGCATGTTGTACTTTTTCGCCACATTAACCCGTGCAGTGGGCTTGTATGCAGACAAGTGTATCCTCTCTGTGATGTCAGCAACAGTAAAGTGTGTTTGATTTGGACGCAAGCTGCAAGTCTGCGTAAATATCCAGGTCTACACAGATCTTCGGTCTAAGTGATACCAAGCACCGCTTTTTAGCAATCTCGCTCCAAGGGTATGCCATCTTTTATCACTGTACTGAAAAAATGAAAAGATTGGAGGACGGGGTGATGTATTTCAGGGAAACTGCTGGTAGTAAATGTGGAGAAAAATGTGGAAGGGAGAAGATGCTTTGGGAGTAAGGTTGGCGTAATTCTCCTAAAATCAGGCCGACAGTGGTGGAAAGATCAGTGTTTAGAAAATTTTCCAGATTATTCCCGGACTGAAAAGCAAACTGTACGAAGGCCCTTATGGTCTGATAGATTTTAAATTTTGAGCACCTGGCAAAAGTTTATACTTGAATGTAAGAAAATGAGGTCTGGAATATAAATAACCCTATGAAGTGGATGGCTTCTTTTGCAGCCGAATTTCGTGAAAATCTGAAGCGGAATTTACAGTGTCCGATGCTTGCAGGAAACAATATTTTTTCTTAAGAAATGGAATGAACATATAACATAAATATAAAACAGATTGTCAATAATTGGCCAGAACCGACAGAATAATCTAGGGCTAATTTTTAAGATAAAAGGTTCAAAGGTGGCTTCCCATCAGTATGGAGGCGGCTAGGCGACTGGTGACTGTACACCTTAACGGTCTGATCTTTAATGATAAGTTGGAGAAAAGAAGCAAGGGAGATTGGTGGAGCTGTAGTCCTGTTCAAAAGCGTCTTCTTCGAGATTTAGTGAGGAGAATGCATAACAATCTGTTTTTATTTTATGCTTGATAAAACTCGTGCATACACTGAGTTGCATCTAAAATCGTTCCTACTGGCATTGGCAGCATTTATGTCGGGAGTGTTATGTAAGATAGATAAAAAATAACTACACGTTTCATTAAACAGGTGCATTAGGGTAAATTTGTTCAACTTTTTATTGCTGTTGTTTGAAATCGATAAACATATGAAGAATTCTTGTGGTTTGTAGTGATTCGCAAGTATGCATACTTATAATCACGTGGCGCATGCAAGTGCTCGAAAGATGTGCTTTGATGTATTGAATGTCGTGCCAAACGAACCATTATGCAGAAGCTACTCGTAGCTACTCATAAACGTTGAGCAACTTTGAGTCTGTTGCTAATACCGATGTAATTGGTTAATGAGCCAATTCTTTCAGCTGCGTTCAGTGTGTTTGATTAGAACATCCGGTTAAAGGAAACTCTGGAACGCACCTAACTGATGAGCCCATACTGAGGAAAACTAGTAACGGACTGGCGTAGGTTCTCCAGTAACTTTGTCAGTCATGAGGTTCGTCATGAAATTTTCTACAGCTGTTTTACATTGTGGATGTTCATTACCCGAGGGAATACTGTCTTTACCACTTAGATATACCGTATAAATCTTACGGTTTAACCAAAGAATTCTAGGATCATTACCGTCAAATGTTTTTAATTTGTTTTTTTTTTAATTTCGAATACAGTACCTTTGATTACGGAAAGTCTGCTGGATAAAGTTCAATAGAGACAACGTAAAAATTTGACCGCGTTTTCCCAGAAACAAGCATAATTTTCATTTTTAACATTGAAGTATTCTTTTTGTGGTCGATAGCTCATTTTGTTGATCTTCGTGAATCATTTTGCAAAACCGTGCAATTGTTTGAGGATTCAGGTGAAAACACTGCAAACAGCTGACATTTTTTAGATTACTTTCCACAAATGTCACTATGAAACAAAGGTTTTCCACCATCCTGTCCATTAAGTAAATTTATTTGAATGTCACTGAGTATTATATTTGCCCTTCAGGTGCAATTCACCGTATCATTTGGAAATAATAACATTTCAAAATTTGTCGACTTCTTTGCCACAATTTACGGAGCGAGGTCACGGCTCACGTGAGTGGAAATTGAAAGATTATGAAGATGATTCGGCGACAAGCTTGGCGTTCAAAGATTTCAACTGGATAGCTGGTGATCGAATCAAACTGTGCTTTCAAAGGGATTCAAATGAAGAACTGAAAAACAAGGCTTTCATGTCATCACAACTTCCAAGGGTTGATGTGGTGCTGAAAGCTTCTTTCGATGAATGGCTGAATGATCGACACTCGAGTCTTCAGCTTCCAGAACAGGGTGAATTCTATTCGGTGGACTACAACTTTGTCACAGGTTAGTACGGTAAACACAGTGTCCAAAATATAGTATTAGGTTCAAAATTGAAACGTGTAAAAATCCCGTTACTCTGATTAGTGGCGTATTCATTCCTTATATTCTGCAATATGCAGACTAGAAGCGCTAAGGAGAGGATTTTGTTGAATAATTGTCTTCAATGATTTATATATAATATTACCTATAGCATCATATATTTGCCTATTTATATTTTTACACGGAAACATTTCATTGAATTCCTACGTATTATAGTATATATCACAAGGATAGTTATCGTAGAAGGTGGTGGTGGTGTCATGATAGTTTTGATAGCTCCTATCAGATTTTTTTCATGAATCTCGATCCTTTGATCCAGCGGTGCTTTTCTTCATTCATTGGACGTGCTACTTGCGTACAGCTGAATTTCCGGCCCTGAGCTGATAACCTGTGATTGTAATTGATTCTGTCCGCAATGACAATCAGCGATATAGTGACTAGAATATCTGTACCTTTGAGTTCAACTTTATCTGAAAAGCCAACTTTTAATCTGTAGAAGGTTATCATATCACAATGTCTAAAGATATAGTCCTACTCTTACCAGTAAAGTAGCCCTTCCAAACCACCGACGTTCGTATGTTTTTTTGAAGGGCCGTCGCTGCTCCTTTAGAGGAAGGACGGGGTAGAAAATATTGGCCCTAAAGATCAGAAAATAGGCCCCAAAGTTAGCAGTAATCCCCAACATATTAAGCAGAATGGTCAGAATACAGCTTGGTGCAGCTGAAACCATACCTGCAGAAAGCAGCAGCACTCAGCCACCGTGGAGTGAGCTGTTCTCCGCAAACCAGTTTGGCCAGACAATTGAGTTATAGGCTGCTTACATTTTTCTCTGTGGGAACACTAAAATCGCTATTCTGAAGACAGGACCAGCGCATGAGAAGCTTGAAATGGAATACCTGAAACCAATTCAGACCCAAATCCTGGAAAACATGAGTCAACGCAATCATCAGAACAACAACTAAACGTAATGTGGCTGATCGCTGGTTCGTTCGCTGAGGTGGGCAATTTATTTCAAACGTTCCACTTCCAAGTGAGGTGTATCAACAATGCGATGGAGGACTAGTACCGCATTAGAACCCTGATAAAAGTGGGATAATGATAGACCAGAATAGTGCATGTCAGTTGTTTTGAAAGGCTCCAAATGGTACGTTGTTGGCGTTGCGCCTGTTAGTGAGACAATATTGCCAAAATAGTGAAAAATGCCTGAAAATCCTATCGAAATGCACCTGATTCCATCAGGCATCACGAATTACAATCAATAGGGACAGGGAGTTGGATATATAGTATCTAGAAACGTGCTATTAATTTTTTTGATGAGCTAAGCTTTGCCAATCCAAAAATACTGCAAACTGGGTCCCATATCTTAAGTCATCCTGTCCTCACCCTTATGAGCGCCCACTAGCTCACGTTATCTCAATTCGAGCAGGGGAATACTAGTTTTACAGCAAGTTTCCGACCATCCGTTAAGTAGTTTCGACCAGTAAAAATATCCTATTGATAGAAGGTTTTGGTTCTCTGATTGGTCAAGATTCAGAAATCTAGAAGAGATACTTGAGACCTTTAGAGATGGATGGGTGAACGACAAGGTCCGTTGTACTCTTCTTTCTTGTGAAGCTGCAGGATTAACCTTTACTATGACCTGATTTCCTCCTAAAAATCTGTTAGCCACAAAGAATCACCAGAAGGGTAAACATAAACACTTTTTTGAATGTCACTGGCAAAGAAATTGTGCGATAGGTGTCGTAAAGTAACTCAGTGGGGATCATCTGATGGACAGTGGATGAAGCGAAGACATTCGTACGCAGAGTTACAGTAAGGACACCTGGGTTGAAGAAATCTGCGGAAAGACATTAAATTGATGAAAATTCCACCATACATTCCTCATCCATTGAACCGAACAATGCAAGTGTTTCTAGGGCAGGGAAGAATATCCGACAATAGAACTCATCTCACGCCTGAAGAGTGAATTGCAGACAAAGTATATCCAGGACTTTTCACCTCATCACGAGTTTTCAAGCATTAAAGCCATGTTATGGATTTAAAGTTTTCAAGACATCCATACCAGTCGGGACCTCGAAGATACGTCGGTTGCTTTCTCAACCAGCTTTAGGAAGTTGAATGCTTGTAAAGTAGATGATGTGTGTAGCTTGGGTTCAGCAAGTATTGGTCTGTGTATTCGATGGGGTTTTTAATTAATTTTCAAACAGTTCGTCACCAGCCAAGGTGGCGTCATCAGTGTGCTGATGCAAAAAGCAGAAGAGTGCTGAATTGGTGGCTGTGCGTTGGGGGTGCTTCGTGCGAGAACATACACACTGCCATTGAACTACGACCAATCGTGAACAGTGGCTAATTTAGAGTCCAAATATTAGACAGCAAATCTTCGCTTGTGGAAGTTTTGGATCTAGGGTTCTACCGCATTTAGTAGAATGCCGCATGCTTGGCGAAAGATGGGGTGTTATCTTCGCCAACGAATTCCCAAGTAACACAAAGTAGCCACGACTGGAATATTCCCAATCGTCTTTCAGAATCCATTTCCTCTAATTAAAAAAAACCAGGTGAAGGTTGAAAAATTACCTTAGGGCATATACAAGCAATAAGCAATTGAGTACGGACATATTCACAGCTCTGTCTCATTTATAATTGCATACCTGGCTGGGTGACGGCAGACTAATTCAACATATGTGTTCTGCAGACAAGTTTCAATTTACTAGCTGGTCTCCCACTAGGCTGCTATTTTGGTGAGTTGATTCGTTCAGTATGGTTAGTGGAAATAACTTATAGCAGAACATTCTCAGGATAAATAACAACCAAATTTATCTTCATGTGGTCCAGAAGCATGCACAGGAGTGCTTGTTAATTTCTACAACTTAAATGAACTTGACAGTTAGGGCTGTAGCCTGTACTTGACGGAATATGGTTGTTTTCATTAACATATCTCTCGTTCAAGCATCTTTTCCTCGAAACGGTTAGTAAAAGTTAAACAATATACTGGGCCCAAAATCTGATAATTCTAAAATTGTATCAATCCGGACGGTCCAACTGGAGTTGGTTACGCCCTACCTAGGAACTGCTCAACCGTCATTTATCAGCAACTTACTGTGAGTTGGCGACTAAAAATTGCACTCTGTTTTATTCAGACTAAAAATACAATGAATGATATATGCCTGTAAAGCCGAAGAGCAAATTAAAGGCAACTGGAAATATGCTGGCAAAATTAGGTCAGGTTTTTATTTTGTCCTCGGACCTTAAGTAAGCTCAAAGTTGGATATTTCTTTGTGCTATAATCATCATAAGTTGAAGCAGACTTGAGAATCATTGCGTTCATTCTGGTTTTAACTTCATTTTATTACGAAAAGACTTCATTTAGCATGACAAATGCTTCAGTCACGATCAACCCAGGAATCATCCTTTTTTGTAACCTAGTTATTATTCACCAACCCTCTCAGTGAACGAGGTTTCAGTGTTGTAGAAATGTGGAAATCTAGGCGGCGTTGGAAGTAACCCGTTCAAATTTGGTTTCGCTCATTTTACTATTTTCAAAATCTATTCGCCACAGATTTTGGTGTGCTTGCACCGTTTGGACGGCAACAAGGACTCAGTAAGTCACTGATCACTTTTTGAATGTGCACCGATTTCCTTTTGTGGACCTCGACGTCAAAAATGGTGTCAAGATGACTGCATGATTATGGGTTCAACGTGTCACTTTGTTGCCAAATTTAATTGTTACGTTATAACGCCGAATAATTTCATTCAGATTGGCAGTATTTGCACAAATCATTCTGCTTTAAATATGTCCAGAAACAGTTCCGATGAATTTTGATATTTATTCGGTCTGGTGCATCAATGGACCGAAGAATCCACCGACTATGTTTGTCTGCCTAAAAATTTGTTCCAGGGAAGCAGTATCTTCACGATCTCGCGTTCACAAAAGTGGTGCTTCCGTAAGAGATAACGTGTAATGAAGAATACTGACTCCCTTATCAAACGATACAATGAGATGCCAATAAAACACCTTAAAGCAAGAATGTTGCATCGCATGCTAGAGAAGAATGCGGCAAAATGTACTTATTGTGTGCTTGTGAGTGGCTTTTGCAGTAAAATATATAAGATAGAACAATCGATGTTAAAGCGCCCTTCCCTCATAAGGGTCTTAAGTTCATCCATGTTCCAAAACTTTGTGTGTGTGGTTCGACTTGCGTCTGGTTGATGTAAACAGGCCCAGGAAAGGTGATCAAAACATCTATGGGATATCTTTGTCAAAATAGTTATTTCTGTTTCATCTCCAGGTTGCCGCTTTACTTTTCAAAGCAAGATTTCAAAAAGTGGAAACTTCTCTTCACCCAATTATCCCGGCCTCTACCCAGTGGATACCGTCTGTGAATACACGCTGATGGGCGAAAAGAACGAGGTCATAAGCTTACGGTTTCTGGAATTTGATATTGAAAGTAGTTCAAGCACGTAAGTCACGTGCGTATGTTTTCGATTGTTTAATATCTGATTATTCCAGAGTGTGAGCGTGTGCAGTTGCAATAATGTATAATTTCTCACCTAATGAGTTTCAATATGACAAGTTTCCGATAGCTTCGTTCTCGGGTGCAAGCTTTGTCTAACTATAAGCACTTCGAGACATCTTTCATGGAACACGGACCGGGGTAAACGCTCCTCCAGAGACAATCAATCTGATTGACAATTAAGCATTTGTGTATTATTCTTTTAACACAGACCAAAAACATGTACATTGCAATCAGAACATTCCGGCACAACTAAGGGCAGGCCCTCCAAGAGGGGGTATAGAGATCTTAAGGCAAGTGGATGAACCGGGTATGCCCTACCATAACTTTGGGTTCAACCTAGCGCGTGTGTTCTAGTCAGTTGGAAACAAAACGTTGTGCAACACAATTAGAAGATCCATACACCGTACATACGATTATCTGTTGCAAATTGCCGCTGAACAGAAAACAGCATCTC